TTTTGAGGTAGCCAGGCAGAATGGTGGAGAGAGTGCTGGGTCTGGAGTCAGGAAGATCTGATCTCAAATCCAGCCACAGATACTTACTAGCTGTGTGACCCTGGGCAAGTTACTTAACCTCTGCTTGCCTCAGTTTCCTCAATTGTAAGATGGGGATTATAATAGTACTTATTTCACAGGATTGTTGTGAGGATCAATGGAGATAATATCTGTAGAGTGGTTAGCACAATGCCTAGTGCATAGTGGGTGCCTATTAAGTATTTATTCTCTTCCTTGAGCCAATTACATTTCAACAATTTCAGTACCTTTTAAGTAAGAACTAGCCTAACTTGCAGGGTGGGGCTTTAGCACATTGCTCTTAAAATATAGCATTTTTATTTTTAAATTTGGTATAATGGATAAAAAGCTGGAATTTGAAATTAGGAGGTTGGGTTCCTATATACAACAAACACTAGGTAGTGGCACAGTGGAGTGTCTGGAGTCAGGAAGACCTGAGTTCAAATTTAACCTCAGACGCTTACTAGCTGTAGACCCTGGGTAAGTCTCTTAAACCTATTTGCCTTAGTTTCCTCATCAGTAAAATGAATTGGAGAAGGAAATGGCGAAACACTCCACTGTCTTTGCCAAGAAAATCCCAAATGGGTTCACAAAACGTTGGACATGACTGAAAATGACTGAACAACAACAAAGTTTGTTCTTGTATTTTTAAAGCACCGAGCACAGTGCCTGCTACTAATAAACATTGCATAAGTCTTTATTTCCTTCCCTTTCCCTTCCCTTCTTTTTGTTCTGAATACTATGCTTGCATATAGAAAGTTAAGTAAGACAAAATCCTTGCACTTAAAGGTCTTAAAAGTCTAGTAAGATAAGCTAACAATACACATAACTAAAATACACATTACCTGGTAAGTACACCAGAGGATTATTTACAAAACAAAGTACAGAGTGAGAAGGTGGGAAGTGATGTTAACTGGTTAGGGGAAACAACATGAACATATTAAATAAACACACAAATATAACACATACATACAAGGCAATTTAGGGGTAGGGGAGACATTAGTAGCCGGGAAAGATTAAAAGAAGTCATGTATAGAAGGTAGCATTGTAGGTTGTGCTTTGAAGGAAATGAGTAATTTTGAGAGGTGAAGAGGAGAAGGGAGTGCCCAGTTAGGAAGGACAGCCTGGGTAAAATCATGGAGACTGACATTGTAATGTCATATCTAAGATATTTGTTATGGGAGATTTTTTTCCATTGGGGAGGAGAGAAGATAGATTTTTGGTTAATTGAAAAAAATTAAATATATATACACATATATGTATACAATCTAAATACAGAACTTCCATATATACACATATACATATATACCTATATATATATATAATATATTTGTATGTTTGTATATATGTGTAGATACATACATGCATACATACTCTCTTCTCTCTAGATTTTTGGGATACCATTCTCTCCTGGTTTTCTTCCTAACTATTTGACCGCTCTTTTTTTGTCTCCTTTGCTGGACCCTCCTCCATGTCCTGGCATCTAACCATAGGTGTCACTCAGGGATCTTTCCTGCCCTTCTTCTCTTCACCCTCTACATTGCTTCACTCGGTGATCTCATCAGCTCCCATGGATTTAATGACCATCTCTATGCTGATGATTCTCAAATGTACCTTTCCTGCCCCAATGTCTCTACTGACCTCCAATCTCACATCTCCAACTGTCTTTCAGACATCTCAAACTACTGTATTTCACCACATGATCGTCACCACCACATAATCGTCACACCCTGCTTTTCAGTCCAAAAACTGGTTTATAACCTTTCATCACATAATCGTTGCATTGTATAATTCTGTTCCTCATGCTGCCTAAAAGGTAAACAGAGCAGCAATGTATTCACCAGTGGCATATAGATATGCATTTATCTCTCATACATTGAAAGCTGGGAGCCTAGAATTTAGGTTCTTTTATTCTAAATCCAATGTTCTTTCCATTTGGGGAGGGTAAACTTTCTTAGGAAGGTTTATAGGGTTGAACCCAAGGTGATTAGTAATAAATACCAACAAGAGAAAAGGGAATTTCCAATAGTTGATGACTATGATCTGCTCTTTAGATCCTTAGACAACACAGAGTAACAAAGAGACTTGTACATGATGGGATGCTCAGAACTTTCCTGGCATAGATTAGCTCAGGGGAAGCAGTGTAGCCCCAGGGATGGTTCATCATTCCATAATTACTAGAAAAATTCTATTTGTGCTTGCAGGAAGAGTCAGGGCTGGATAGTTTTAGCAAGAATATTGTTTTCAATCAGCCTGCTACAGTGCCTGAAATTCCTGAATATTCTTGCTTTGAATTAAGGCATTATTTCTAGAAGATCCTTGATCTGGGCCAGGCTAGTGATTCAAGTTCAGAATTGCAATGCAATGAAATGCTCATGGATTATAAAAGACTCCCTCAAAAAGAAGTTTACTTGACAACAACAACAAAAAAGAGATCCCATAAAGATACAGTACTGATTTATGTGGATATAGTTCCCTTCTCCCTTTGTATCTGTCATGGTGATAATGCCCCTTCAGAAAAGTGTGTTGACTTACAAGACAGTGGGAACTGTAACAAACTTGAAGACACTGGCCCCTTGTCCACTGCTCATTTTATGTCTCAGGCAACCAGGAAGTCACATTCCCACAGACTAATCAAGTCTCCAGGATGATTTCCTCCTGCTATGAGGAGAAACTAGTCCAGCCTAAATGAAACCATTGTTGCTTGTCCCGTAGACCCTGAAAATATGTTACTTGGGAGGGTTAATATATTAGTACCTACCAACATGGATTAGTATCAAACTAGTAAGTTTGACAGAGGACAAAGCTCTGAGGTAATGGGACATAGGGCAGGTAAGTTTTAATGGGATGAAGGGAGAGATAGGGTGGAGAGTTAGGGGTTAAAGGTTCACTGTAGAATGTTTACTTAGTGAAGGAAGACTTGAGTAGAGAAGCATGATGGGGAGTTCCAGGTAGTCAGCAGAGCAACTGACCACTGAGTGAAGGTCAAAAGTGACCCTGAAAATTGGGAAAGAGGGACAACAAGAAGGGGAGATGGTGTTAGTGATGGGAGCCAAAGATAAACTTTACCTACTTCACAATTTGGCCAAGGCTAAGTTTTGCACACAGAGGGTAATGGCCATTTGTGTTTATATACTGTTGTGTATACACAATGAGTCTGTATATACAATAGTTTATTCATTGATGCATTCTTATGACAGCTGTCCTTCCCAACCAATACCAAGTCTTCTGGGTTTGTCTAGAGGCTTCAGAGGCACAGCCCAGGTAAGAGGCTTGGCTATCCAATTTCTATCCTTTTACAGACTAAGGATCCCAGGAATGGGACATGTTGGCCAAAGGAGAAAATAAAAAGGAAACACACATAAGCCAAATCAGTGAATATCTTCTGTCCCTATCCTGTACTAAGATAAAATGAAATGGGTTAAGGTAGAGTTGTTTTGTGCCCTAAGAGCACCACCAAATGTAAGAAAAATAACCAAATACAAAGCAATAACCTCAAAATGATGGTTAAAAATGCTGGTTGAAAAATAAGAGGTTGGCCAGTGGAACAGATCAGGTAGACAGCATATAGGCACAAATGAACCTATTAGCCTAGTGTTCAATGAATCCAAAGTTTAATCCCAGTTACTCTGGTAAGAATTTATTATTTGACAAAAACTGCTGGGAAAACTGGAAAGTAGTTTGGGAGAAATTAGGTTTAGACAGATACCACATACCATATACTAAGATTAGCTCCAAATGATACATGACTTAGTTATAAGAGGTCACATCACAAACAAATTAGAGAAACAAGGAAGAAATTTCTCCAGATGATACATGTCAGTTATAAAAGGTTATACCACAGTCAAATTAGAGGAGCAAGAAAGGAATTTCTCATCAGAACTATAAGTAGGGAAAGAGTCAAATGAATAATTGAAATTGATTGAAAATTGAAAAAAAATTGTACAAACAAAACAAATGCAGACAAAATTAGAAGGAAAGTAGTTATGCCATTTTGGTAGAGCTGAATTGGTCTAAGCCATTCTGGAGAGCAATTTGGAACTGTGTTCCTCCAAATCACTAAACCGTGCATATCCTTTGATCCATTGATACCTCTACCAGGCCTATGCTGTAAAGAGACTTTTTGTTTTTTAAAGAGGAAAATCACCCATACAGACAAAATTTTTAATAGCATTTCTTTTGGTGGCAAAAACTGGAAACTAAAGACATGATTGTCAAATGGGGAATAGTTTGAACAAATTATGGTATTTGAATGTAATGGAATAGGATTATGCTGTAAGAAATGATGAAAGGGAAAGAGAAAACATAGCATGAACTGATTCAGGGTAAAATGAACAGGATCAGGAGCATAATTTATATAATAACAAAAAGAAAAGACAATAACTTTGAAAGACTTAAAAACTCTGATTAATATAATGACCAATCATGATCCAAAGGACTGATGATGAAGAACATTTAACTACTACCTTGATAGGGTGTGGCCCAAGCCCAGGTCTTTGCCCCTTGCCCCAAAGGGAATCTGGCTCCCTTTTGTCTACAGGCCCCAGCCCCTCATCTCCCTTTGAAAGCCTTAGCCTACCTTTTAATCTCATTCAGATACCTTTCAGTTCCTTCATTATCTATTCCCATTGTCTATGCAATCTCTTAGACATTCCAATCTCTGGGAATTCTCACCCAGACCCTTTTCCCAGACCCTTCCCTAGTCACTTTAGTATATAAGATCTACCCGACCCTCATTTGGGAACCTCTCATGCCCGCTTGTCCTTACGGGTGTCACCTGGCCTATATGTTTTACCACTAACAAACTTTTCCTCTGGCTGAAGAAGATTTGAGTTGAGTTCTTTCAGGCAGGGCCCGGTACCACGATCTTGGGGTCCCAGCACCCCAAAACCCCTAGACCTCTTCATATGGTTCCCTGACCGGGGACTAACTGCCAATCTCAAATGCTTCTTCAGCCACAACAGGTAAGCCTCCCCCTCCCCAATTCTGCCTGATGTTCTCAGACTTTTTGGTCCAGTGCCTCTGCTTGAGCACTTGGACTGGATTTTCCAAGCAGCCAGCCAGGCTTGCCATGGAAGTTTTTTTTTCCAGGCCTGACCTCTCAGGTTTCCTTAGGTCAGACAGTTACGAGGCTGTCTCAGACTCTCTGATGTTCTTAGGCTTTTTGGTCCAGTGCCTCTGCTTGAGCACTTGGAACTGGATTTCCAAGCAGCTAGCCAGGCTTGTCTTGGAAGTTTTTCGGGCCTGACCTCTCAGGTTCCCTTAGGTCAGACAGTTACGAGGCTGTCTCAAACTCTGCCTGATGTTCTTAGGCTTTTTGGTCCAGTGCCTCTGCTTGAGCACTTGGAACTGGATTTCCAAGCAGCTAGCCAGGCTTGTCTTGGAAGTTTTTCGGGCCTGACCTCTCAGGTTCCCTTAGGTCAGACAGTTATGAAGCTGTCTCAGACTCTGTCTGACATTCTCAGGCTTTTCGGTCCAGTGCCTCTGCTTGAGCACTTGGACTTGGGTATATACCTTCCTTAGCATAGAGGATGGACTTCCTACCAGGAAGCATAGGTTCAAAATTCTCAGTTCTCTCTGCGCTAGGGAATTGGGAAATTGTTGGATGTATATTTTTTTTCTTTCTTTTGCTTTTTTTTCTTTTCCCTAAGCCCACAATAGGTCAATCCTTTTCATTTCCCAAGAATTCACCTTTGGGCTGTCTTTTACTAAATTGGAAAAATCTTAGCTTCTGTAAAGAACTTAAAAAGAAAAAGCTGGTGCATTTTTGTAACAGTGTTTGGCCTCAGTATCACCTGGAAAATTGTGAGGCATGGCCCCCTTTTGGGACATTATGGGTAAAGACCCTCTCAGAGTTAGAAAAATATTGTTGAAGAGAAAGAAAATGGGTGGAGATTTCTTACTTAATGGCTTTTGTTGAGCTTTCTAGAGATCCCATTCTCAGAAAGGATTGTAAGATGCTCGTAGCTAGAGCCACCCCACTACACAGGTGAGTGGGGACCAAATGGACCTTTTGGACAATCCTCTTATGGCTCCTAGGGTTATGGCATCCCCCTCTTCCCCAGCACCTATCTACACCCCATTCTCCTCCGGCTTCTCCGGCTGTTCCCCATTCTCCCCAGACCCCCCTCTCTTCTCCTCTGGTCCCTCCATTTCTTCCCCAGGCCCCCACTCTAGAGGCTACTTCTACTCAGGCCTTGAGCGAGAGCCTCGCCCCAGCCTCTACTTCCAGAGAGACCCCAGCTCAAGTTCTGGACGAGGTTCTCAACTTGGTGCCTCCTCCCCAGACTTCTACTTCCGACAGGACTCCTCCTCAGGCTCCAGACAAGGGTATCACAGTGGCGTCTTCTCCCCTGATCCCTCCCCCTCCTCCGGTGTCAGGTAATCTTCCCCCTTGCCAGCCAGATTCCTCGGCCTTGCCAGTTCAGCCGGCACTTTCCAGTCCCTGGGACTTCCTACCTCCCTCCCCCATAAGCCCCTGCTCCCGCAGGGCCTTCAGGGCTTTTTCCTTTAAGGGAAGTACCTGCCTCTCCTAATGGGACACTTAGGGTGCATGTTCCATTCTCCATTTCAGACCTCACCCAGATTAAGGAAAGGCTGGGTCGATACTCTGAAGATCCCACTAAATTTACTGAGGGCTTCAGGGATATGTCCCTACAATTTGACCTTTCTTAGGGTGATTTGCATGTCCTTTTCTCCACCTGTTGTACCCCTGAGGAGAGGAAGAGAATCTGGGAACAAGCCCAAAATTTGGGGACACTTTTACTAGCAATGACCCCACAAGATACACCCCAGGAACAGCTGCTGTTCCTGCTAGTGATCCAGGGTGGGATTATCAGAAGAGTGAGGATAGGGGAAAGAAAGACCACATGATAATTTGCCTGTTAGAAGGGTTGAAGACAGCCTTTCAAAAACAGGTAAATTTTCAGAAAATTAAAGAGATTACTCAGGGGGAAAAGGAAAACCCTGCCCTTTTCCAAGATAGGCTGGTAGAAGCCATTAAAAAGTATACAAATCTAGATCCTGATTCTGCTGAAGGGGCAACAGTCCTCAGCATGTATTTCATTAACCAATCGGCCCCAGATATTAGGAGGAAACTACAGAAATTGTCAATGGGACCCCAAATACCTCAGGCCCAGCTATTGGAGACTGCCTTTGGAGTCTTAACAACAGAGACCTACTTGCAGCAGAGGAGAAAGAACGCAGGCAGAGGGCCAGAGACAAAGAACATGCCCATTTTCTGGTCGCTGCCATGGCCAGGAGAAGACCCGGGGTTTTTTCTGGTGATTTGGGCACTGGGGAAACCTGCTTTTGATGCCACCAGAAGGGCCACTGGTCCAAGGAGTGCCCCTCCAGGGTGCCCCCAGAGGAAGCCACCAGGACCTTGCCCAAGATGTGACTAGGAGGGACATTGGAGGAAGGATTATCCCCGAGGGTGGAGAAGTGGTGGAGCCGCCCCCCAGTACCCGATCTTCCAGCCCTCACAAGGTCTGGAATGACGGAGGGCTTGGGGCTCAGTAATGCTCCCACTTTCCCCATCTCTCTCTCCGAGCCTTGGGTCGAAATCGAGGCTTAAGGTAAGGTTACCCAGTTTATCTTGGACACGGGGGGTACTCACTCCGTTTTAATTAATTACTCTGGCCCTACTCGCCTCTCAAACCATCGAGTCATAGGCATTGAAGGTAGAATTACCGGATGTCGAGAGACACACCCCCTGCCCTACCTATTTGAGGATCTGTTGTTTGAACACTCCTTCCTCACTATCTCCTCTTGTCCTGCCCCCTTGTTGGGCAGGGACCTGATGGTGAAATTGGGAAGCCAATTTTCTCTAGTTAAGCCTCCAATGTCTGTTTTTCCTATGTTCACAAGACCCCCCCATGTTCCCCTGGAAGTATGGGAGACAGTTGAGCCAACTGTGTGGGATCAGGGAATTCCGGGGAGAGCTAGTTATGCTATCCCTGCTGTCGTTCGCCTTCGAGAGATATAACTTCTGTTATGCCAAGAATGTGGGGACTCTGTGAGGCTCTATTTGGGACTTCACAGTGGGGAGGGGAGGGAAATTTCCCACTTCCTATTCTCCCAGCACCTATAAGTGGCTGCTTGTATATGGCAACCAGGGTATGTGCTCATCTAGTTGAGCCTGAGTCAAGATTTCAAGGTCCTGGCTGCCTCTACTGCTTTTTATTTCTTCCTCTGGGCATAGATGATCAATGATTGTGAGTCAATATTTCCAGCCTCACTCTAAGAGTTTAAGAGGTGAGACCTCCTGGATCTCTCAGATGGCATTGGCATATGTGTGCTCCCTGTACCTTCTACAACAATTTTGAGAGGAGAAGATGACCACTGACAGAAGGATGAGCCCAAGCTGTGGCCTGGTTTGTCACAAGATATGAACCAAGAAGTATTTGTTCTGACAGTGTGGAGCTGAGGTAGAGAAATTCCTATTCTACAGTCCTACTAAATGTTCAATTTTTTAATGTTTCAAGTATCAGCTTCCTGGGAGAATTTAATAGGAGTTATAGGTTACTCTATCGTGTTTTAAATCTTTCTCAATGGGTACTTTTTCAATTCAATTCAATTCAATAAATATTTATTAAGCACCTCCTATGTGCCAAGTACTGTATGTTGAACACTTGGAATATAAAAAGAAACAATAGTCCCTTCCCTCAAGAAGCTTAGAATCTAAATACCAATCTTTTGTGTTTTGAGCTTTTCTCTTGTATGGGGGAAATAAATGTCTTCTACTTGATCTACATTGTACATTGAATAACTTTCTACTTTTGGGGGAACTTTAAGTCGTTTTCCCTGGGGCTCTTGGTTGGTTTATGACACTGAAGAAAGCCTAGGATTTTGAATCTATCTTTTCTTTAACTTTTATGTCCTGAGAGGAATGCACAAGATTGCAATATGTAAAAGAATTATTTCTTTGTCACTGACATAATTTTGCTCATAAGAGTCCTTGTCAGAATACTAACGATTGTTCAAGTTATCTCTGAAGCCTGAACCTATGCTTGAACATAATAATAAAACCTAGGTTTTTACCTCTATAATTTCTACATTGTGGTAAGTATATTTTTGGCAGCAGTTATCTATTACATGAACTCAGAGAGGAAATATTTCTCCCATATCAGATTCCTACGTAGCATCTAGGAATTTTAGCTCACATCTTTATAGTGCTTTAAGGTTTACCAAGCGATTTACATCAATTATCTCATTTGATCCTCACAACAACTCTGGGGGTAAATACAAGCTTGATATGAATCAGCAGTGTGATGTGGCAGTCCAACTTCCAGGATTAAGGAGGTAATAATTCCACTGTACTCTGCCCTTGTCAGATCTCACCTGGAGTATTGTTTCCAGTTGTGGGTGCCACAGTTTGAGAAGAACATTGATAAACTGTAGAGTGTCTGGATTCAGGTGTGGGGAACCTGTGGCCTAGAGGCCACATGTAGCCTTCTAGGTCCTTGTGTGTAGCCTTTTGACTGAGTCCAAGTTTTACAGGACAAATCCTTTTGGAGTCAGTTTTACAGAACAAATCCTTTTATTAAAGGGATTTGTTCTGTGAAATTTGGATTCAGTCAAAGGGCTGCACTTGAGGATCTAGAGGGCTGCATGTGGCCTTGAGGCTGCAGGTTCCCCACCCCTAGCAGAGGAAGGAACCTAGATAGTGAATGACTTTGAGACTATGCCATATGTAGATTAATTGAAGAAATGTTTGTTGTTTGGTCAATTAGTCATGTCCTACTACTGGCGACCCCATCTGGGGTTTTCTTATCAAAGACACTGCAGTGGTTTGCCATTTCCTTCTCTAGCTCATTTTATGGATGAGGAAACTGAGGCAAACAAAGTTAAATGACTTTCCTAGGGTCACATGGCTAGTAAGTGTCTGATGTGGATTTGAACTCAGGTCTTCCTGACTCCAGGCCCAGTGCTCTATCTGCTATACCTGGCAAATTGTCGTGTACCTACTACCTTGGGGAGGAACTGAGATGCAACGGTCCATCCCTTGTTGCTGACCTAGACCTATCCTAATTATCTCATTACAAAAGTTATCAATAAAAGCTGGCTCCATCTTGAAGCCCTTGTTGATCTTCAATGATCAGCCCATCAATGTGTTGCTACCTTGATGTACTTTTCATAGATTCCTTTTAATTCTCTTTGACCTGAGTTTTGTCTTGTTAATCAAGGTGAAAGCCCAAACAAAGAATTTTCCTGCAGATCTGGGGCTCTTGACCTGTTAAGGAGTAAGGAAAACCTTTTAGGAGAGAGGTAGAGGAGTTCATTTGTGAGTGCTGTCTTCCTTCTCACCTAAGATGCTTTTCTAGAAATAGTGGCAGTCATGGGAAATAAACACACAGCTGCATCAATCCCACTCAGATCTGAAAGCTCTCACTCTGAAAGCTTGGTCAGAACAGCTGAAGAACTGTGAACAGTGGTTATCATATCCATTTATTCATAGAAAATGGAATTTAATTAAGCATAGTTCACATCATTTCCACTTATTTAACAAGTCTTCACAGAGTTAGGAGTCCTGCTGCTGAGAGGGAAAAAAAAAGATCTTATATTTACTCTTTGAAATTGGAGACAGGGAATATGAGAAGCAAAATTGTAAGTAAATACAGTAAGTAGTGTTACTTTTTTTTTTGCAGTTGAAAAGCTTCAAATTTTTGATAGCTAAAAACTGAATACCATGTCCATCAGGCATATTGAGCAAGAATTGCCCAAACAGCTGTGGAAAAGCTGCAAGTAAAAAATAGTGAAGAATGGAAGAAGTTCTTCCCAACATGAATTTTCTCAAATAGTTTAATATGTAAAAATATAGTTGGACATTAAGATGTAACAGCTTATTTAATAGAGTTGAAAAGAATAATAATTTTCTTTAAGTCTCTGAACAAATGATAATGTGTTTTGAGATGAAGAATAAATTTAAAGACCTGCTAAGCTGAGCACAAGATCTGAATGTGAATGAAGTCCTGCACATGCAGGGGGAAAAGCCAGAGACACATTATCAAGACACTTGAAATGATATAAGATAATAAAGGAGGATGAGCTACCCTATGGAGAAATGATGCTATAGAACAAAGAGCATAGGAAGGATAACGTCCTGGTTTTGGTGGGGGTGGGAAGTAGTCTGCTTAAGAGAGAGAAACAGGAAAAAAGGCCATTGGTTAAGGAATAGCAATTTAGGAGTTTTCACAGGGAAGAGAATGGAACATGATACTTTAAAATAGACAATATCTGAAAGAAAACAAGGCTATTTTCCAGGGTGTTATAACTCTGTTAGCTATTGAGGTCAGCTGCACGAGACTCGGCACAAATTCTGGGTAAGAGAATTATGCAGAGCCTGCTCTAACAACATACTATGGTTCATATCTAGTAAATGACCTGTTTGGGCTGGTGTTTTTGTTTTTGGTATCCTCAGTGCATATTACTGTACCTGGAACATAGTAAGCACTTATCAAATTCTTATTGAAGTGATTTAGAATTTTGTGTGAATGAAGACATAATTGTAGGCTCATCCCTATGAAGGCAAGTTAACTTTTTCCTGGGTCACAGAATAAGCCTTTAACCCCACCCTACAAACTTTACCTGAACACATCTGGTTAACTTGCAAAATCTGTGCCCTCAGTGGAAAGGGAGGACCAGGTGACAGAGTATAGACTGCTTTGTGCAACCTACCTACCTATTTGATAATTGACTCACTGAAGAGATCCCATGGATGGTGGGTCAAGAAAACTGTTTCTATAAGTGAAAGATGGTGTACTCAAAAAGCTTCTATGTTTCCATGTGTAGCACCTGCTTCTGTCCCTAGGAGTCCTTTGAAAGTTGCCCCATATTCAAAGTATATTTTAGATGTTAATATGTTCAAAATTATGGCTCCTAAGCCCATACCTATCTGTTTCTCTATTAGATAACTAGAGTACACAATTTAAAGCAAAGGACAGTTAATGAAACAGCACAGCAAAAGTAAGTGACAAAGATAGCTTCCTATACACATAGGAGTGTTCTCTCTCACAGGTTACCACAGCACCATTAGGAGAGAGGATGCATGCAGGGAGCATGAATGGCTAAGAAACATGCATAGAAAAGTCATGTGAGCAGTACATACATGCATCCTTAAGCATTAAGGCTATCTTTTGCATTACTTTTTCTCTTGCTAATAGGATCAAAGGGCTAAACTTTATCTAAGTTATGATAAGAAAATTCCTTTTATCTTCCTATCATACCATTGACTACTGGATTGGATTCCTGCAAAATCATCCTTGGAGCTCCATTTACCAAGACTGAAAAGGAGAGAGGGAGCTCAGTAATGAGGAAATCCTTTTCAACCTCTTTCAAGCCCCAGACCGTGAGCTTTGATCAAGTTAAGTCAACAAGCATTTAAATGCTTACTATTGTGTCAGGATCCAAGCTCTTGGAATACAAATATGAACAAAAAGAGATAGTCCATATAAATCACCTTGGAACAACACTGGATTGGTTGAGCA